ATAGTTTTACTTCCCTTTTCCTCTATAACCACGACCAAATTTTTACAGTTGAAAAGTAAACCAAGATCAAATTTAGACATGTTGTTTGAAATTAGCAGAGATGAAACACTTCAGTACCAGACAAAAGCCCTGATTTTAAGAGTAGGTTTTTGCCTTCCCTGAAATGCCTAGCTCAGGCAGTGTATTTTTATGCCTGCAGATATTGGCATGTTTCACATTTCAGATTATGACACACCAACTTATTTTGAAATTTTTTAAATCTTCCACTGCGCATGTTTCAAGTGCTTCGTGACTGTCACTGATAATTGAGCAATTAACTTGAATTACCAAATGTGCTGTGAGGGCACAATATGTAGTAAGCAACATGAAAGAATAAAGAACAGAGGAACTTGGTACAGTGAAAAAGAAGTAATAAAGGGTAAAATAAAAATAATAATAATAATGGTACTAAGTAAGTTTTAATTGTCCCAAGTCTCAGTCATTTAATGATGCCAGTAAAATGGTTTCAATGAAACAAGTCCAGTGTATTGCAAACTTTTTAGAGCAGTTTATTCTGGTACTACAGAAAGGAAGCTTCTTTCTAACTTGTCTTGTGTAATAATCCGAGATTGGCCCAAAAAGTATGTGTGCAGTTTTTAAACAATTAGGTTAAAATCCTGACAGGCAGATTCTTAAAAATCACAAGCTTGCAAAAAATAGATGTAAGGTCTTTCTTGAAGTTTAAGACAGACAAAGCAAACACTCCAGGGCTAAAGATGACCTCAAGAGGTCATCAAGCTATTGTGAACATATTTGCATACCAAAAATTAAGATATGTGGTTTGACATCAAGAGGAAAGGATGAAACTTCAGCTGGAAAAACCAGGTCTCTTCACTGTTCATCCCATCAAGGTCTCTAACACTGGGCTTTTCTGGCTAAAACCATAGTGTGAGATGAAGAATAGCTTTTTAGTGCTTAAATATAGCCAGTGAAGTAAATTCCATAAACCTAAATCCTACCTTATTTCAGTGGCAGGACATCTTAAAGGTTTGTGGGGAAAAAAACAGCAATTTAGAAAGTCAGAGAAGGAAAAGAGATTCAAACTATAACAAAGAACACTATTTAAAACATTTTTTCTCAAAAATCCATTAATATTGCTCCAAAACACCACTGTGAAATTAAAAATAGTTCAGGTTGTCCTTTCAGGTATAAATTAGAAAACAGAAAGTGGAAAGATCAGAAAGAACAAGTATCCGAGGGCACTAGTATGTAAAACTTAAAAGCTTAAAACATAATGGATATACACATTCAGATTAGCAAACTGCTTTCAATTAAAGTAGATTTCTGGCCACAGTTCACAAATGTATAGTAGCTGTGTGTATTAATGTAGATACTTCAAATGTCAGTATATCTCTAATTAACATGAGCACACAAGTGTAAAACTGAGAAGGCACAATTTTAAATTCCTTACATTCTCAGCATTAATGCTTTCATGGGGCAGCTCCCGTTGTCATGGAAAATGGCATTCAAGCCCTGTTTGTGGATTTTCACAGCTCATCTTTTTTATTTACCTGCTCTATGTCAAGATTAGCCTGGAATAATATGTTTTAAAGATAATACACTTAGATCTACTTGTCCTTAAAATCACAGATGTTCTCACTGTGGGAGCTTCGGGTCTGGGCTATGCTCAGTTTGAAACAGATTTCTTTACATTTTAAAATACCAGAAAGAGATAAATTCATGATTCTTTTTGTTGTTTCCTAAAAATCTGTGCAATTCAAAAAATTTCAGCTGAAGCATTATATGTGGCAGTCTTGGAACAGGGAGACAGTTAAATGTCAGGGAGGAGCAAATGATTCAGAAACATAAAGAAATTAAGTGGTCGAAGGCTCTTTACAGTCTCCTCCCTGACTTACTCCACCTCAACTTTTTGAAAATAATTGTATATCAGTCAAGTGGAGACAGAGACAGTGACCAGATACAACAAAAGAGAGCTAAAATTCTCTCTGAGAGAGGACAGCATAGTATTATGGAAAAAGCAGTGAATTTATATTCATGAATCCCTGAGTTTGAGTCCTGGTACTGTGCAAAAATGAGGATAACTGTTACCTCACAGAGTGTTTACAAAATTCAGCCAATTTAATGTCTGCAAAAGCAAGTGTATACCAAATTAAAATATTGTTATTATTATTGCCTCGAGCATGGGGCTAAGCAATGATCATTGTTTTATACCAGAAATAAAATACTTATGTACCTTTTTCAGGGAAAAGGTTGCTATTCACAACCATGAATAGCAGAATTCTGCAAAAGCAAATTTGTAACCAAATTACTAGAAAGGCTCGGGTAATTTGAAAAAGCAGGAAATCTAATGATCTATCTCTGTTTCATTTTGATTTTTAACCAATACATTTATTGCCCTGATAAAACTGAACGGTCAGAATTACATAACTTTTTAAATTAGAGATAAACAATTAAATGTGGATACTAATATGTGTAGCAAGGTTTTTTTATACAATGCCTACTTTGGAAAAAGAAAAGAGTAGTTTTCTTTTTTAAGGAGGGAAAAAAAAAAAACTAGAATAAGATCTTTACAAGTGCTTCTCAGAAGATACCATTTTCCTCCACAGTGTTTTTCTCTTCTGACCTAGGTAGTAGAAGTGAATACATAAGATTCCAGTCGGTTCTCACACTCCCTTGGTGTGGCCCATTCATTATGGATGTGCAAAACAATATCCCACCTTCCTTATCTCCCAGACCTGCTTCTGCACACCTTACTAAGAAACCTTCCCGTGGCCTCAAGGTATAACTTTCTGTCTTAGATCATGTAGCAAATAAACAGTTCCAGGACGTGGAAGTTAACATTCCTAAAAGAAGCCACTGTCACAGATCCCCATTTGCTTGTTCCCAGGCCAGACTAGACAAATATTTCTATTGTTTTAGCTGCCTTATCATTCAGTATAAGTAGTGGACAGTTTCTGCAATAATTGAAAGAAATAGGAGCTCAAGCATTCTGGATGCCACATTAATTTTACCTGACATCTTAGTCATAGTATTCTGCTATATTTCTTTAATAAGAAGGTTCCACAGTCAGGAGATGGCCCTAACAAAGCTTGAGACCACTGAACAAAGGAACATCAAAGTCCATGCCCTAACCTAGCACAGGGAAATTCTCAAGACTGGAGAATAATTACTTTAGACCTGTAATATTAGCATACCTTTTACTTAAGTGATCAGACAAAATCTAACTACAAGTTTCCTGTTGTTGGTTTTTTAAGTTGAACTCCAGAAATAACCATATGAAAACTATACCCACAGTGCCCCTTCTATTTTTACCTTTCTTCTTTGGTTAGGTCACAAGAAAAATCTCAGCTGACTGGATTGCCTCCATTCAAATCTAGCCTATATACATATATATATATATATGTATATATATATATGTATATATATGTCTGGTTGGAGGGGAGGGGTCCGCATGCAGGGGAGAAGTGAAGAATTCAGGGCACAGAGTCTTTGGATGATGAGAAATGTAAACTGTATTTTAATAATGTTATAAAGGTCATCTTAGTTGAAATGCCAGTAATTATCTTATATTTGTTATTTAAAAATTTTAATCATCCTAAAAACTTATTAAAGGGATTGACTGAATGATATGAGCTAAGAGAGAAAGGATGTGAAAGAATGAACAAAGCAACTAAGATTTGTAGAACTCAAAATTATTTCCCTTCACTCAGGTTTCTGATAGGACAAACTCAACTCCTTGGAATCATCCTTTTTCATGAGAGCCCTTCAAAAAAATACTTTACATTTCTTTCTCCATCTTCTTTGCCTCCTAATCCTCAGTATGATATCCTGCACAAATTAAAAGCTTATATTTAATCCAAATGAACCGTGCAGTTTAGTATCTTGGGTTTTACATTAGAATTAAGCCTTCAAATAATAAAATATAAATTGATAGTTTCATAAAAATAATATATTCTTTCTTAAAGCATTAAAAATACACAGTGTATTAAACTATATTAAACATTCACATCTGTTTTTTTAAGTTGGTTCAAAATGCTTGCCTAAGCAATTCTACTACTAAAAGAAAGGTAAAGCTCATTTTAAATAAATTTTCCCTGCCCTCTGCTTAAATACCAAATCACTTATACTCTAATTTATAGCTTTTTTTCAAATATTTTCCTAGAAGTATATTCTCTAAAACTCCTTAATAGGAGTACACTAACAGAGGGAAAGTATCATGTGTCTTTGTGGTTAACAAATGTGTAAGAGTCCCTTAGATGCCAACAATGAATACTCATATTTTAAACTCAAGTTACTTAAATATGGTCTTATATAAACACATAGACATTTTTACACCTGCCTCATACTCATACTCTACTTCTGCATGAATAAATACATATCAATTTAAAGTACTGTAATTGATCATTAAAGTTCAATCAACTTTTTTCTCAAAATTTGCCTTCTTTCCTGAGGAAAGGTATCTCCAAAATACCTTCAAAAATATAATAATGATTTGGGGAAGGTGAAGAAGGCAGGAACACCCCCATCTTGGTATATATCACACATTTACTAAATGAGTCTTTGGTTTCTTAGCACATAGTCTCCTCTTGTACTGACAGTTCTCTGAATTCTGCATCATATCATGTCTTTTTGATGAGCACAGGCACATAGTACTAAAAAGTTATCAGATTAAATTATTCATGTAGCTATAGACCAGCCCCTTTAAGGTAATAATCCATTTCCATAACTGAGCTCCATCTTCAAAAAGTAAGATATTTATTCTTTCAGCTTATTGTGATGACCCTTGCATTGTGTTATTTCACTGGAAATCACAAACTGAGGCTTTTTTCACCAGCTGATTTTTTCCTATACTCCTCTTAAAGTACAAGAAACTAATAACACTTAAAAATCACGTAAAAAATAATAATAAAAATTTACACACAAAAGGAATTAAGATTTTCCTTAAAGCTGTAACTGTTTCATTACACAATGAGAAGAGTAATAAATAAATAAATACTTACAAAGACGCAAAAAATCGGCCCCAGCACCCAGAAATCACTGGTAAATTGCCTTTGAATTCATGAAAGTAACCTGAAAGTTTAGAAAGGAAAGGATATGAAAAAGGGTAAGTAAGTTACATTCATATGCTTTATTAAAGAGGACTACATTCTGACCACAGATTATACTATTGTTAACTCAGGCAGTTGTCCCCATCTACTCAAACAACTTTTTCCGAGATGATAACAAAACAACAATTATTTCATTGTTCTACATCTAAGAATACATCTCTATTTATTATGGCTTTTTAAAAAAGTGTCAATAATAAAGTTGTGTTTAAAAGTATGAAAAAGTAAAAACAAAAGAAGAAAAATAATCTTTAAGGGAATAGAAGCTTACAAGTTACATTTGACAAACATGTTGAATTTATGTCCATAAGTTAAAATAAATGAGTTTCACAGAAAATATCTTAGATATGTCAAACAGGAATACTTTGTAGGTAGAATAAATGTGAAAGGATGGAGTTTTTGTTCTGCCTAAGGTGTGGAACCCATCTAGATGCTTAAGCTATATACAATGCATTCTGTATGAGCCACAATTCAGTCCAAAATTCTTGCTTGCACACACTTTAGTTCTGGCTGAAGAGGTAACAGATGCAATTCAAACACACAGAGCTAGCCTTGTAAAAAGTTTTAACTAGCACAATGAGTCACTTTATGCCTCTAAATATCTATGGTTTCCTCTCTCCAGAACCTCCATGCATCAGAAGGTAGTTTGGTAGTTTATTTTTATTGTTTGGTCTAAATACAGCACATTTTTAGTTTCATGAAAACAAAGAAACTTTGTTGCAAAAGCTGTATTCTTTCTAAAATGTGAAGATGATTATGAATAGTGTTCAATTTAAAATAATAATGGAGGTTAGGTTCTTAATTTAGGTTAGAAACTTTCACAGGGGGGATTGGTATGATTCAATTCACATTTTTTTAAATGTAGCCAATAAACATCTATGTTAGTCAACTAACCTAGTTAGCTAACTAAATTTATGTAAAAAACACTCTGAAAAAAATGGGTCTTGATATATACATCATTTGTAAGAAACATTACCTAATGTTGCATGTATAACACAAACGGCCTTAAGAAATTAGGTATCAGATGGCCAAAATCGAAAAGACTAGGAACAAATGCTGGTGAGGGTATCCAGAGAAAGGGGAACCCTCCTACACTGCTGGTGGGAATATAAATCAGGTCAACCATAGTGGAAAGCAATATGGAGTTTCCTCAAAAAACTAAAAATAGAAATACCATTTATCATTCCACTCCAGGGATGTGCCCAAAGAAAATAAGATCCCAGATTCAAAAAGAGATATGCTCCCCTATGTTTATCGCAGAACTATTTACAATAGCCAAGATGTGGAAGCAACCTAGGTGCCCATCAGTAGATGAATGGATAAAGAAGATGTAGTACATATACACAATGGAATATTATTCAGCCATAAAAGGAAAACAAATACTACCATTTGCAACAACATGGATGGAGCTAGAGAGTATTATGCTCAGTGAAATAATCCAGGTGGAGAAAGACAAGTACCAAATGATTTCACTCATTGGTAGAGTATAACAACAAAGCAAAAAACTGAAGGAACAAAATAGCAGCAGACTCACAGACTCCAAGAAGGGACTAGTGGTTACCAAAGGGGAAGGGTGGGGGAGGGCATGTGGGGAGGGAGGGAGAAGGGGATTGAGGGGCCTTATTATTTGCACACATGGTATGTGGGAGCAGGGGTGGTCACAGGGAAGACAGTGTAGCACAGAGAAGACAAGTAGTAACTCTGTGGCATCTTACTATGCTGATGGACAGTGACTGCAATGGAGTGTGGGGAGGACTTGATAATATTGGTGACTGTAGTAACCACAATGTTGTTCATGTGAAACTTTCATAAGATTGTATATCAATGATATCTTAATAAAAAAAGAATTAGGTATCAGCATCTGAAATTGAGATATGAAATAAATATCTAACTCAACCCTTCTCCGGCTCTAATAACATCCTTTTGCCTAAGTGACCCAGACAATTCATTCTATTTTCTAGTCAGAATTTATAGATAATGAAGTCCTGGGCATTTGGACAGTTAATATACCCATTAGGTTTCTTCAACAAACCGCACATCATTCTTTTTGTAGTGAATGATGCCTTCCCCACTCCAGTTTCTCCAATTTCCAAAATTTCTCTGATGCCTATTTCCACAGATGTGGTAAGTACAAGAAAGTCTGGCCAGGGAAGGTAGCTCTGGTTTGTTTTTACGGGTTTTTTTTTTTTTTCAGTATTAAACCCTTTTCCTCTTATGGCATTCTGATGTTCTGGGATCCAGGAGAGTAATTTTATCTGGGACACCACATAACCCCATGTAGAGACACTCTGTGTATTATTCAAAGCCAGCAAAGAACACTTGTTCTGATATAAGCTATTCTCACATTTTATCCTACTGTGAGTTATAATTCACAACTTCAAAGTTATACAAAAATAAATCTATAGTAAACTGCTGTCTATCCAAAAGCCTAAACTCTGGAAGAATCCAAAACATGTATTTTAAAAATAATCACACCTTGTCTATCCAGCCACTATTATTTTAAAACATGAATTGGAATTATGCAATATACACAACACATTCCATTCTTTCATTTGTACTTAAATAATGGGAGATAAAATAAAATGCATGCAGAAAATACTGTGGCTGACATATACCTCATTTTTTCAATCACTGGACTCTGGAAAAATTTGGAACAAATAAGATTCTAGACATTTAAGGAAATAATAAATAATATTTTAATATACATCAATATGAAGCCAATAAGTCTCATTTGTTATATCAATTCAGTCTTACTACATATTCTAAAAGCAATTCTGAATCTCATTATAAACTGATTTACACTACTGGTAAATTTTGGAGCACACAGTTTAAAGAGTATAAGCTTCTAAAATGACACAGTTCATTATTATAAAAAAAGAAACACATTTAATGCATATTTTCTCCTACAGAGAATTTAGGAATAAATGAGCAACAGTTCATGATAGGCAAAGAGTTAATAATTAACTCACAGGAATTAACACACAACTTGAAGTAAGCTATTAAGAACTAGCAAAGTTTAGGCTGAAGAAACATTTCCATAGCAAGCGACCACTTTGGTCCTGAGGGCAACCCATAAGTAACAAGGTAGGAAGGAAATGCCAGGACAAATCACCATCTGTAATGGAAAATCACAATCTGCTTAGGAAAATGAATCTTCAGAATTCTCAGGCACCTTGGATTGTTCCACTCCTGTTTGCTCATTCTTTCATTTGGCAAGTATTGACCATGGGTTAGAGATTGCACTGGACAGTACGAACACAAAAATTTTTTTAAATAAATAAAATCATTGTAATACGGGTGAATGTTGAAACCACAACATTGCTCATGTGAAACCTTCACAAGATTGTATATCAATAATACCTTCATATAAAAATACCTAAATGAATAAAATCATTGTGTTATATACCTAAAACTAATACAATGTTATATGTCAATTGTATCAATTTAAAAATAAATATATATGTGTGTGTACTTATTTATTTGCTTATTTATTTATAAACTATGGCCTTTCCCCTCAAGAATTTGCTACAAACAATTCACTATAAAAAAAGCACAGAGAAGGTAAAGAGAAAATGTACAAATGGCCAATATCCTAAAAATATGTGTAATTTCCATTATAATCAAGAAATGCAAATAAAATATTTTCACCCACAATATTGGCAAAATACCTTATAAACTGAACAAAAACTAGTACTGGTGAGGGTGTGGTAATTTGCCAATAAGTGTTAAAATTTCTAATGTCCTTTAAGTTTGCAATGCTAGTTCCAAAAATTATATTAAGGAACTAATCACAAAAATGTTAAAAGCAGTATACATATAATACATATGTTGATGAAAGCATTTTTACAACAGCCAAATATTAGAAGTAACCTATTAACTGGGCAAGTAAATCATGGTATATGCATATAAAACTATTCCATAATTATGATATAAACCTATACTTACTGAAATGAAAAAAATGGCCACAATATATTGTTGAATTTTTTAAAATACGTGTAAAATAAGAAGCAATTTATAGAAAATCAAATGTATGCACACACACACATACAAGTTTCATTAACAAAGTATAATCTAACAAAAATGTTAACATTGAGTAAGATACATATAGGTTAATTTTTACTTTCTTATTCTTATAAGCAGATGTTATTTAGCTTTTTTATACTTCACATTCTAATTGTCCCAAAACAATAAAGCTATATCTAAAATTCAGTATATTACTTATATGTCCAAAAATAGTCACCCAAAGTCAGGCTAATTTGCTTGGCAGCGTAAGCCAAATATGAATATTAGTCACAAAAAAGAAAAACCTCTGAATTACAAGGTAACTTCAAACAAGCATCTTGACATCAAATGAAGAAACCATAAACATTTTCACAAAAGCATGTCCCACTCTACCAAAAATAGGTAATAGATCAAAGGTAAACAGCAAATAAAAACACTGCCACCTCCCTGTATAATTGGACTTTAAAAGCTTTCAAGCTACGTTTTTTAATCCCGCTAAAGCTGTCTCTAAATCATGCCATTACTTTTTTTAATCCCTGTCTTTTTATTTTTTGTTTTTTCACTTAGCAAGAAGGTTCAAGCATCAAATGGGTTGGATTACGTTGTAACTTTGAAAGTCAATGATTCTAAGGTATTTTTTAAAGTACTGAATGCTTCCAAAAACACCTGTAACAAAATTTTGTCCATCTTTACATCAAATTATAGCACCACATATTTAAAACTCTAGTCAAGGATTAAATCTCTTTTTTAATTTATTTATTCATCGATTTAATAATGTTATACATAATAAGCTGCCTTTAAAGCATTTATTTTATCAACTTGAAAAGAGATTAATGCCTAGTCTTATACATCAAAATAAAAATTAGAGAGGCACTAAAAAATATCCTCCTAATATTTTCTTTTCATTTTTTACTCTTATTCTCTTTACTATTATTACTACTTTTGCTGGTTTTAGCATTACTA